AGAAAAAGGCCGACGCCAGGAGGAGAAAACAGCGGATAGTCCCCCAGAGTGCCCCCCCGTTTAAAACTCTCACCCTTGCATGGGAAAGCCTCATCCAGATGTGCCCTCCAACAGCTGGCCATTCGCCTACCTCTGCTCAGGTGGGTGGGAGGGAGTTCCCTGGGCTTCCCCAAAGATTTCCAGTTGCACAGCTGTTGGAAGTCATTTGAAGGGTTAGTTAATTCATCATCCCTTCCCCCCAAATTATGTCCTAAGAAATGTGCATGTCATCAAAACTTCAACAGAGGCACCCTTTTGCCCATCCTAAAGATGCTTGGCGGTCTCATCCAGCAACAACTCCTCTTTAAGATAAAAACTTTCAAGAGAGGAGCCCCCTTCTTCGCACTGACGGTTCTACATTTGTATTATCCTTTCCCCCAAATTTTTGGCTTGTTTGCACAAGAGAAGCTTTTGACGAATGCCTGCAGGCTGAAGCCCTGCTTCTGTGGCTTACCCCTGGCATCATGACGTTGGAAGGGGCCTCGGAGGCCATCCAGCCCAGCCCCTTCCTCAAGGCAGGAATGCCATTCAAAGGAGATCTGACAGAGGGGGGGGTCCCATTTCCTCTTGGACGCCTCCAGCGTTGGAGCGCTCCCCACCTTCCCTCTGAGGTCAATGCTTCCATTGTCGTCCTGCTCTAACAGTTAGGAAGTTTCCCCTGATATTCAACTGAAATCGGTCTTCGTGCAGCTTGAGCCCATGACTGTGTCTCAAGGCAGGAATGCCATTCAAAGGAGATCTGACAGAGGGGGGGGTCCCATTTCCTCTTGGACGCCTCCAGCGTTGGAGCGCTCCCCACCTTCCCTCTGAGGTCAATGCTTCCATTGTCGTCCTGCTCTAACAGTTAGGAAGTTTCCCCTGATATTCAACTGAAATCGGTCTTCCTGCAGCTTGAGCCCATGGCTGTGCGTCCTGCACGCTGGGATGATTGACGATGGATCCTGCCCCTCCTCTGTAGGGGGCAGAACTTTTCAAATTCCTAGGATTTGAAAAGTGCTCTCGGTCCCACCAATTCAGCCATGGCGACTGTGGAATGGAAAGGAAAAGTTGGAGCATGCTGTTTTTTTCTTTCCGGAAAAGATTTGCTTGGACTTCAGCCCTCGGTCCTCTGCTCCTGGAGTCTCCTCCCCAACAACCCCCCCTTGAGAAACCAACCCAAACCAAAACTTTGATTCTGGAACTCCAGATGCTGTCCAATTGACATCGTTTATACACATCATGCATTTTTTTTTAAAAAAATGCATTTACACAAATGACTCAATTCTGTTCAGGGTTTGGGGGGTGACTAACAGGAAGTTGAGAGACAGCTAGAAAAGTGGTGTTCGGAGAAGAAAGGGATCCAAGAGGTGGCCACCGGTGCGCATGAGGACTAGAAACCAGGGATGGTGATTCAAGTTGTTGAGTCAGACCTGAGTCACCCCGGTGACTGGACTCAGAATTTGGTTTTGCTTTCAATGATTCAGATTTGACTCGTGACTCAGAACCTCCCATGCATGATGGCAATGAAAAAGCCGGGGTCAGGCCGTCCCTTTTCTGCCAGGATGCTTGGTGAAAAAATAGGGTGTTCTTCTCGCTTTCTGCGAGAGCAGCCGACTCGAATTCAGACCCGAAGACTTGCCAGCGTCCCTGCTAGAAACTTGCATTTAGAAGGGGGTTGGAGACAGGCTTCGCTTAACGAAGATTCAGGTTTAGGGAGGGTTCCGTTTTGGGGCTGGTATTTGGTCCAAGAAAATCGTACGGTGCGTTCCAGGGCTTCCGTATTTCGTGCGGAAGGCGAGGGGGGTGGGCCAGCAAAGGAGGGGGTGGGTTGCAGCCTCTCTGGCGAAACCCTCCATTCTCTGCCACCAGCACCATTGCATGATGACAATGAAAAAGCCAGGGGTCAGGCTGTCCCTTTTCTGCCAGGATGCTTGGCGAAAAAATAGGGTGTTCTTCTCACTTTCTGCGAGAGCAGCCACAGCCGCCTGGATGGTAAAAGAGGCTAGTGACCTTTATGGGGGGGGGGAGACCTTTTTCCATCCTGGCTTGAGAGAAGCGGCCTTTCTGTAGGTCAGGGTGATGCCCACGGATCTGTGAAAGGGGAGATTTTTTGCTTTCCTTTTTCTCCCCAAGCTTTGAAAAGAGGCGACTTCTTTTGACCGGGGTGTTTTGGATGGTTTCGATTTGTTTTGATGTCTTCACTCGATGTGTTTGGATCTGAATTTTACGGTCGTTTGCTGACTTGCCTGCCGCGCTCGGCGGAAAGAAGGGACGTCGTGTGTTTAGGAAAAGGATGAGACAGAACTTCAGGCTCATCATGAAAACAACCCTCTTGACAGCTTTCGGAAACAGATTGATCTTTTTTGTGTGTGGAACTGTCTGAGAAAAATGGCTGGAATAAACCTGAGCCACAAAATGGGTTGTGTGAATGTGTGGGTGTGTGTGTTTCTCCTGTTTCTACTTTCACAGACCAAGAGAGCAATTCCTCTTGAGCAGTAGATCCCAACCTGGGGTCCCCAGATGTTCTTGGACTACAACTCCCAGAAGCCTTCACAGTGAGGATTTCTGGGAGAGAGAAAGAGAGAGAGAGAGAGAGAGAGAGAGAGAGAGAGAGAGAGAGAGTTGGGTTGCTTGAGAAGGTTGCCTCCCGCTTGCCTGACCTTTCTGACCTTCCTCCAGATCCAGGAATGGAACGTGGAGGCCCAGCATCTGATGCCGCTCCAGCCTCCCCTGGTCCCCGAACTGAGCCACATGAGGGAAGCCCAGCTGCACACGGCCGAGGCTTCTCTCTGGAGTGTGGTGGCCACCGTCCAGGCCATGGAGAGGAAGATCGACGTTCTGGCCACCCGGCTCCTTAGCCTGGAAGGACGGTCGGGGACGGCTGAGAAGAAGTTGTTGGACTGCGAGAAGACCGCGATGGAATTTAACAACCAGCTGGAGAGCAAGTGGGCCGTGCTGGGGACCCTGATCCAGGAGTACGGGCTGCTCCAGAGGAGGCTGGAGAACATGGAGAACCTGCTCAAGAACCGGAACTTCTGGGTCTTAAGACTGCCCCCGGGTGCCAAGGGAGAAATCCCAAAGGTAGCCGGCTCTGCGGAGAGGAAAGGGGGGTGGCCTTTCCTAGAGCTGGTCTGGGGAGGGGGGGCGGTCCAGATCTCATCAAGCCACAGCTTCCCTCTACCTTAGCCAGCATTGCCCATGGTGAGGTTGAATGGGAATTGTTGTCCCAGGATATATAAAGGAGGACCCCTTTCCCACTCAAGACCTAAGGAACAGGGCAGGAATGCCGGGCGAGGACAAGCTTCTCCATCCTCAGATGATGGGTTGAGATGGCTGGGCTGGAGGGCTGGCGGCTTATGGGGCCTGGCAGCCTAAGGGTTGTGCCCGTTGACCCACGAAGAGCCATCCTGGTCGGAGTCTCCATGAAATCTGGGAGGGCTCTCCGCGATTCAGGCTCTTCGCTCCCTCTCGCTGTCTGCGGTCTGCTTTGATCGGAAGCAGCCGCTCTGCCATCCCAGGAAGGCAGAGGTCTGTGGCCTTCCACTCCTTGGAGAACCTCAGAAAAAGTTCGGTCTGAAACACGGGAGGGATTGACTGACCCAGGAAACCCCCCTCCCCCCACAAGGAAGCGAGAATCTCTCACCGGACTTAACGGCTCCCGATCCATTTCTCAAAGCCCCGTTTCTCTTCAGTGGGAGGCGTTGGGGGGGAATTCAACGCTGCGTTTTTTCCCCCATGCAGATGCCCGTGACCTTTGTGGATATCGCGGTGTACTTCTCGGCCGAAGAGTGGGAGAACTTGGCCGAGTGGCAGAAGGACCTCTACCACAACCTCGTGAAAGAAAACTACGAGTCCTTGCTGACCCTCGGTAAGCAGACGCCACTTCCTTTGGCCTGGAGAAAATGTTACGTTTTTGGACTACAACTCCCATGCTGACTGGGGGATTCTGGGAGTTTTTATTCGGAAGAGCCATTCTCTCAAGCTCCTCCTTTATTTGCATTGCGTGTCGTGTACTCAACATTACTACAGCTTGTATTATTATTATCATCATCATCATCATCAGTGGTAGTAGTAGTGGTGGTAGTGGTATCATTATTAGTAGTAGCAGTAGTGGTAGTAGTGGTGGTGGTATTATTATTATTATT